GCCGCATGCGCGCCCCCGCCTCCTCCGCCGCCGCCGCCGCCCGCCGCCGCCGCCGCCATCGCGCCGCCGCCGAAGGCGGCGCCGCCGGGAGCGGCGCTCTCGTCCACTGTCGCAATGAGTTGACCGGGCGTGACCGTGTCGTCTTGTTTGACCAGAATTCCCACCAGAGTTCCCGCCTGGGGTGCCTTGATGTCGATTGTCACCTGGAGATATGATGTTATGGGTGAGGGGCCCCGCAGTTGTGGGTCGCGCCAGGCCGGTGATGCAGTGGCGGAAGGGCAGGGAGCTGCGGTGCAAATGTGCGCCATGGGGGTGTTCTGCTGCGGAAGCGAGCCCAGCCGACTCACGCGCCGCCCGCGTCACGTCCGTCTGCCGCAGCCGCGCTACGCACCCCCGCAACCGCTCGCCGGCGGCAGCGCGGTGGCTGCGGCCCGAAGTGGGGGCCGCGGCTGCCCATTGCTACGAGGGCGCGGGCCCTATCGATGTTGCCATTGCGCGGAGTTATTGCAATGCGCACCAACACTGCGCTGTCGCGCTCGGCCGTAAACATCCAACATCGAGGTTTCAAGCAAAGTCAAAGTGTCCTATTCGCCCCTGACTCGTGGCCCCGCACCTTGTCTGTTTCAATCTGGGCTATCACGTCGTTCTCTTGGACCGCATCGCCGGCCTGCTTGAGCACTGAGGGCGTTTCGCAAGGCCAAGCGGCGGTATCGGGGCTGAGCCGGCGGCACAGGGGGTTGGGTGCTGCTGGCAAGGCCACAACTGACTGCCGCATGCCACTCAAGATTCACCCCCGGGGGGCGCTGCGGCCGCGCTGGCTGGGCTCGGTGCATGCTGGCATATTGCAGCAGCGGGAACCGCGCGCCGCCCACCTGCGCTGATGCTGCCTTCGCTGATCGAGTCGCCGAGCGGTGGCACGACCACCTTTGTGCTGAAGGCGGCCCACGGCGCGGCTCCGCTGGGGAGCCCCAAGCTCGCCAGGCGCGCAAGGATCCGAGGGGCCAACATTGATTCTGGGCGCGAGAGGCTTGAAATGTGCTCCTGCTGGGAGTACGGTATCAGGGCTGTGCGAGGGGCCTGCTGTCGGATGAGGACCTGTGTATGTATACAGACGGGGGTTTTTCATGCCGCATTGTACGGCACCCGTTTGTCTGCGAGCACACATACTGTGGTCGTGATCTCGGCGAGCAGCTGCCATCGATCTACGGGAGTAGCCCCGGCTCTAACTGCCCCACATCTAATTATTTGATGTATCTGTCGACTCGAATACGCTGACACTCTACAGGTGACCGTCCCGCACGCCATCAACATCCTTTGACACCGCGTCGCAGCCCACACCGCGGTCACAGCGGCAGCATGTTAGACCTGCGGACATACACATCGCCGTTGCTTGTCAGCGGCACCAGCGCCACAGTTCTGAAACTGGGCGACAAAGTCGAGTCTGGTGCGCGCCCGCAGCGACCACCACCGCGCGGCGAAACCTGCATGCGATGGCACTGCTCGGCCCGCTACTCGCCCGTCCGAAGTGCGGGCCTGTGTCAGCGGCGTGCAGCTTGAGCGGCCGGCGCGTGAATGGCCGCGGCACCGGGCGTCAACAATGCCGCCCCGCCAGGGGCAGGGGGGGTTGTCTCCAGCGGGCAATGGCCCGCTGTGCTGAAATGTCATGCCCCCCCCCCCCACCACCACCACACGCGCCCGCAGCGCCGCAACTCAACAGCGACACTGCGCGGCGGCGTTACGGCAGGGTGCGGCGGCGGGGCGCTCACGGGCGGGGTTCTGGGGGGCGATGCGTCTGCCTTGGGGCAGGCTAGTTGCGCTGCATGATGTGTCACCGCCTGGACAGGCAACCGCCAGCTGTGGCTGTTGATTATGTCATTCAAGGGGGCTGTCTAGTCACGACCGGCTGCACATGCATCTCGCGCACGCTTTCGTGATAACCCACACGCACGCGCACAAAAAAAACGCACGCGCACACACACACGTATGCACGCACGCAGGCAGGAGACCTGTCACAGCAGCTCAGCGGCGACGGCGGCACCAGCGACGCAGCCGCGGCGGGCGGCAGCGGGGCCGCCGCGTCCAAGAGCAAGGTTGGCAGCAACATTGCTATCAAGGTGCGGCGGGGCTTGATTGCAGCGAGCGGTGTTGATGCATTCACCCCCGTGTGGGTGTCGAAATTTGTGTTGCGAGCAACTACGTGTGTGCGTGCTTTGGGTGGATTGGTCAGGAATCAAGTGATTCGCTGATTGGAGGGCAGCAGCACCAGAAAAGGAGGGCCTCCGCTAGCCAATGCAGGCGTATGGAAGGGGCCCCAAGCGCCCAACGCAGGCGTGCTCCCCCCCTGCGTTCACGTCGGCGAATTGCAAACCTGCCAACCTCGTCGTGCAATCTGACCTGTGATCTGTGCAATCTATGATTTGTGATCTGCAGGACCTAATTGATGCGGGGCTGATCAAGCCGGGCCCGACAGCCCTCACGGTGACCTACAAAAACAAGGTCACCGTCGGGGCCCTGCTGGCAGACGGGAACATCGAGTACAGCGGTGGGTCGGAATAATGAGTAATGGGATCGAATAACAACTCTTCAGCCTCACCCCCCCCCCCAAAGCTGGCACGGGCCGCGCTGGAACAACCGCACGCCCCTCGAAACCGGCCCCGCCCAGCTGTGACTGCAAGCGCCGGATTCGATGTGCTATGCCGAGGTTCGCAGTCCCAGTCACGGCCGCGGCCGCGGCCGCATCCGCACTATTTCAGGGTGACCCGCGCATGCAGCCGCCGTCGCGCGGCTGCGCCTCTGACCGAGCCCGAAGTCCCCACCACCTCGGCCCCCTCTCTGCCCGTGCCGCTACCCCCGCACACACCCCCGCCCTAACCTTGCACCCCCGAACATGCCTCCGTCCGCCCCGCAGGCCAGACGTTCTCGAGCCCGAGTGCCTTTTCGGTCCACGTAAAGCGCCAGCAGACGCCGGGCAAGCAGGGCGACGACGGCTGGCGCAGCGTGCACGCGGCGGACTCTGGCGCCTCCCTCCATGATCTGAGGGCGTCCCTGCTGTCGGCGCTTGGTCAGCAGGCGGTGGCGGCGGCGGGCGGCGGCGCGGGGCGGCAAAGGGGGCGGCCGGCGCGGGCGAAGCCGGCAACGTACAAGGAGGTGCGGGTGTTGTGTGTCACTGCAGGAGTAGGAGTTGGACTTGGGTTGTTACAACGCCTCGCAGTCGCCCGCTTCTGGAGCAATCCAGGCTCATGGGATAGGACTTTGAAGCTTCAACATCACATGACTAAGAGTCGCGACACCAGACTGCAGGGGGGGTCGGGTGGGGGCGCGGCCGCGCTCGCTGATTTCTCAAAAATGGAGATTGCAAAGAGTCTCCAGCAAACCGCGACGATCGACAGCCCAAAGGAGTTGCGGTGGCGCCCTGCGGCGCGCCTTTGCGCCGCCACGCGGCCTGGGACGCGCGGCGGCGCAGCGCGCTCCCCGGCAAGGTGGTCGCGACCGTGCGTGCAAGGCCCCGCGCGCGCCGCGGCCCCAATACCGGGCCCCTCGCCAGCGCCCGCCGACCTCCCTGCCTCGGCTACGACCTCCGCGCCAAACCGGTCACTCCCACGCGTGCACGCACACACACACACACACACACACACACACACACACACACACACACACACACACACACACACACACACAAAGCAGGAGGATGCATTGGAGGAAGAGGAGGAGGAGGATGGGGCGCCGGTGGGTCTCGGGAGTTGCGGATGAGTTGCCCCTGGGCCCCCGTGGTGTGCCGGTGGCCTTGGTCCCACCACCTGGCTGGCAGCCGTGGCAGCGGTGCCCGTCCGAGTAATGGCCTCCCAAGACGGGCCATACACCTCCAGCCTGAGGGGGAGGGGAGGCGGGCCGCCCGGCCGCGACCGCGGGGGCCGGTGGGGTCCCAATCTGGGCGCGAAGCAGCTGCCGTTGCCTGCCAAACACGACCACGCCTCTTTCTACCCCAGCCCCGAGGACACACCTGCGCTCATACACGCTCTCTCACACCCATGACTCCTCGGGCCCTAAACCCCACCTGAAAGCCGCGCCCCCACTCACCCAGCTGCCACCCAACTTGGCGACCAACGCCGGCGGGCCCCGACTGACGCTAATCGCCGCCAACCGACGCCAACCGACGCCACAACCGCAGGCCGCGGCGGCCGCAGCGGAGCCCGCAGAGGTCCACTGGGTGCAGTGCAGCCGCTGCGAGCGCTGGCGCGTCGTGCCGGACGAGCACTGGGCGGCGATCGACGCCGCTGACGAGGACGCCGACTGGTTCTGCGAAATGGCGCCGTGGGACGTTTCGAAGTTTGAACCGTTCGACCCCGCGTGCCCGACGGGCTGAGGGGAAGCGTCCGGGGGCGGCCCCGGGCGCGGCGCCTCGGCGCGGCGGCGGGCAAGGCGCCGGCAGGGGCGGCCGCAGCACCGGTGTCTGGCGACCGCGTCGGGGCTCGAGCAAGGCGAGCTGTGGGTCTTCTGGTTGCAATGGGCGGCATTGCCTCCCACCCTCTTCCCCTGTGGCTTTCATGGTTGCCCTTGCACGGCTCGGCAGGCCAGCTTCTGATGTCGAACGGTTTTTGAAGTTTGAAGTTTGACGCGGGTCCAGGCCCCCTCCATGCTCGCTGCTGCATTGGCAACGGCCGCAGAATATGGGCCTTCGAGGGGGCCTGCCCACGCCTGGCGGCCCTGGCCCCGGCTTCCTCTCTCCCCTACTGCCACGGCAGCAGCCCGCCGCTGCCGCTGACTGTGCGAGCTCTTCGCAACCGCCTTGACCGCAGCCGGCGCCTGCACTCAAGCGCACGTCTGCGCCCTGCTGCCCATTGACTTCCGCGCTGGTTGTGACCTGCAGCGCCCTCAGCTTCTAGACATCACTTTTTGGTATCCAGCGCCTGTTGTGGTGTAAATTGCAAAGGTGGGATCTTTCTGCAGCCACGGCCTGGACCCCTTCAGTGAGGCGCCCGGATGCAGATCACAGGCTCTTCATGCGAGTGTCATGTAAGCGCATCATAGCGCTTGCGCGCACGCATGGTGTGTGTTTGTGTGTGTGTCTGTGCGCGTGTGTGCGTGCGTGTGTGTGTGTGTGTGTGTGTGCGTGCTTGCGTGCGTGCGTGCGTGTGTGTGTGTGTGCGTGCGTGCG